ACTTCGAAACTAGGGCTGCCTTTTGTAGCTTCCTGCAAAATCCATCTAACAAACAAACAAAATCATATTACAATCCATTAGCAACCAAAAGTGCAGAGAACACGAGCATTATGGAACTATACGATGAAATGTTACAGAGATGAGTGGTATTTAAAACCAAACTGATATGGACTTCTCACTCCAAGCACATTGAGAGCATTCTTTGTATATCATTGAATTGAGTAGAAGCACCAGTATCTAGACAGCAGTCTTGAATCTACTATTATTTCTTTAAAATGTTCAATATATATTACACTGAATTTAAGTTATTTTGCATTATTAGCTTAGTATAGGAACTTAGGACTTACGTCAATTTCACTGAAGTTCGTGAGACACCGTTGGAATTGCGGCCGACAATATCAATAATAGCGAGGGTACTAGACTGATAATTCACTGCTTTCTAATCATTCTATTATTTAATGTTTCTTCTTGATTTATTTTTGACATTACATACTCTTAGCTTTTTTGTTATTAAGCACAAAACTACACAAGTTTTAACGTTATAAGTCCTTAGACCCCCAGCTGAGATACCGGAGTGGCATACATTTATTAAGGCCAGTGTAAAAGATTAGTTATTAGTTACATTTTATGACAAGTTATTCATTAGCTGTGATCTACAGGGTGTCCGAAAAGTCTGGAACCATAGACATTTCAACTAATTTTACAAAATGGATTCCACGTGTTGTCCTTGTAATTCGAAACAAGTTTGGATTAACATTAGGATTAAATCGACCTTTTCATGCTATGACAGCGCCATAATCAGTCACGAATCTGTAATGAAGAAAAGCTGCAAAGCTAATAACACAACTTCACTACAATTAAGTCTGTTCTGAACGCTTGTATAATATTGTTACATTGGTTGCATTATCCTATTCTTTATTGTTTATTTGGTTGTCTTGTAATTTACTTCATCCTTACATTCTGTATTTTAATTACTGTTTATAACATGTTTAAACTTCATACATTTTTTACCGAATAATTTACCATGTTCAATATAGCTTGCTGAAGATGGAATATGGATATTCCGAAACGTTCAAGAATTTGTTACTGAACATTCACGTGTCAAATGTTCGTTGTTGCTGCCGTTGTTCTACTGTTCATCATTAACTTTCGATTCCCAGCTATAAATCACCTATGACACCAGAATTTTCGAACAGCCTGTATTTAGTTAGCTTGTCTTGACTAAAAATTATTGATAGTTAGTTATACGACATGTGTGTTGATACTTTGTAAGGGATACTTGGTGTTATCAATACCTTCTTATCAGAAAAAGCTTCTTATATAGATCAAAACAAAATATTAATTCAGTGAATACTGTAGCTAATTTAATACGTGGGTCTAACTAGTGCATTGTTATAACATATAAACTTATAATGTTTGGTACTCTCACTCTTATCGATATTTTCGGCCGTAATCCCAATAATATTTTGCGAGGATAACCGAAATTGAAGATTTAGATTAGTCTTAAATTCATAAGCTTTTGACAGTTGAAAGTAATCCTCATAATAAAAAATACATATGATATAATGTATGTGATAGGTATATTGTACACTTAAACTAGCAGTGTCAATGAAACTAACGTAAACAAAAGAAAATAATATAGCGTCATTTGTAAGCCCCATAAAAAACAATTTCGTTTCATGCACTATTTCCAATTCCTTGTCCCTAGGAGAAACTTTAATTAAATAGTTACATTTGTTTGAAGGAAATTAAAGTGGTTTTTATAGGCCACGGCGTTGAATAATGTAAGAATACAATCTATTTCAGAAAGAAAACGCTAGATCCGGGCAATTAGCGTGAAACGTGAAAGAACACCCAAAAAACACGACACTAATGTATTATTAGCTACTATGTTACTATGAAATCATTTTCTTTTGAAGTAGCACTTAAAACGTGTCACGACGCACATAACTATACTTGATAATCATTAAATACAGGCATACCTACTGCTGAAAGGATTTAAAAAAAAATATTTGCTTCTCTAGAATGTACTCGAATATTTTAGCTGGTGGTCGTCAGATAATTTTATCTGCACTTTAAAGAATCTTTGGTATGGAAGCTTTAAAGAAAATGGTGAGATTACTTATAAAGATGCTTTGGAAAGCGTTCCAAACAGAATCAACTGTGTTCTTTCCGAAAAAAACTGGTTTCACGGAAAGGCAACAGGTATATTAATCCAGTTTTTTAGCTACGAAAACTGGAAATCACACAACCGTCATCATGATATTCAGACTTATGTTGGAATTCAAATGTTCAACCTTATGCTAGGTTGACTAAACGGCCAGGTCAGAGACCCCTAGGGATCGGGTTTATAGTTATCCCTAATTTTGAACAACTGGCAAAAGGGAAGACAGCCAGCCAGCAGCACTCATCGCCATAAGGCTTTTTCCGACTTTTCGAATCAAATAACGGAATTGACTGTCACTTTTATTAACGTGTCCACAGCTAAAAGTGCGGAGCGTATTCAGTGCCATCACTTCCCAAACCCTAGACAGCGAGAGGTAGTTAGAACTCTAGGCTTAACAACAATAAACCTGAGAGGTAGTTATAGCTGTTAGCTCGATAACATTAAATCTGAGAAGTGATTATAATGATAACAAAACAAATCTGTTAGATAATTGAATATTATACCTGAAAGTTGACCAAAAATGTGACTCAACAATGAATTTGAGAGTTAGCTAACGCCATTATTTAGTGTTAGAAGTATATTTTATACTGCAAAGAAAATAAACTCCTTTAGATTATTGTTAATATTTTATACATCAAGTTTGGTTTGATACCGCAATATAAACCGTAATTTGATTTTTTTTGCTGTTTTGTTAGTGAACGAATACACGAATCTAACAGCTTGTCTATAATTCTGTTATTATGTTTTTAAACTTTTATAAACACATAAATTAACGATATTCATGTAAACACTCTTATTACAATTAGTACAAGGTTATTTTGTCTTCCACATTTGAATTATATGCTTGAAGTATTCATATAACTGAATATATATTTGTTAGCCAAATACTTTTATTAATTATGAACAAAAAATACCATGACTTTTATAATAAAAGGAAATTGAAACAAAATCAATTAAAATATAACTAATTAGGAAGTTAAAAGTTGACGACAAAGGATGACGTTGTAACGTCGAAACATGTAGAGTCGTCAACTTTTTGAAGACTATAGATAGGCTTAAATAAAATGTTTTTAATTGTGTACCAGTTTAACGTTGACTATTATTTATGATTCTAACTTTATACACAAGAACCAAAATACTATACTATAAGTAATTAGGAAGTT